CACAGACACAAAAAAAAAGCACAGAGGATAATGAACGCTTGGCAAACTGCCAGCACAACCACGCCCACTGGCTGTGTCTGAAGACACACACCTGAACATGGACTAATAAAAGCTGGCTGTGTTCAGGTGCAGCCTGTTTAAAGGTGGCCCTACTGTGCAGAAGGGGGTGACAGAGGTGCCGCGCCGCTAGACTCAATGAAGCCATGTCCTAATCCTCAAAGCGCGGCTTCTATAGTGCCTCACAAAAATCCATCTCTTTTGTTTAGTCAAGTAAAGTAAAGTTAAGCTGTATTGTGATCTCAACCATGTACAGGACACACTGAAACAAAATAGTGTTCCTTCTGGATCCAGTGCAGAATTCATGACAGGACAGATATTACAGTGCTAAGGACAGAATCCATAACGATTTCTACAGTGCAAAAAAACTGCTTATACAGTTACCAATAATTTAAGGAGAGGGGAAACAGAGTGAAGACTACTACCAATCCACGTAACATAATGTTACGAAACATAGTGTGATTGTAACATAACATAACCTTCGTTTTTCATTAGACAAAGAACAGGCACACTGCATAACACTGGGGAATTAATTCTGTAAATATGATGGTCTAAAAACTTTGACGGTAACCTCAGTTTCATGCCCATCACTTTGGAGTGTGTCCTGACATGTTGCAAAAAAAAATACTATTATAAGTCAAGGTTAAATATTTATCTTTCACCGGGAGACCTTTTGTAAACAACAGCGAGGTGGCCCATAGAAGAAGTACTAAATCCAAATAAAGGATTCACTCTTTTGAGATTTTCATAAAATAAATATAGAGCCTTTTGCATAAATTGTTTGCATAGCTAACAACATGTACGCTACTATATGTTTGTGCATAAGTACCTTCAAAAAAACCTGGCAGAAGAAGAATTCTATTTCTGTTTTTTGCAGAATTGTTTATATGGTTAGAGAGAGAGAGTTTTCATTTTTAATTATAATTATAAATGTGTAGCCTCATGCCTTTAATGTCCAATAGAATAATCTAAAGTATATTTGTGCATCTATTTATTCATTTTCTACACACTCATTCTAGTCAAAGGGTTGAGGCAGCACAGGACACAAACTTGGGGCACACCCTGAATGGGATGCAAGTCAATCAGAGGGCATATACAGTATCAAATACTATAAGCAAGTTTAGAAATGTCAGATAACCTAACTCAGGGGTGTCGAACTCCGTTCCTGGGGGGCCAGAGTCCTATATACTGTAGCTTAGTTCTTTCCCTGTTCCACCACAAATGATTCAGTTCTAGAGCTGTGTGGTAATTAGCACAAGGAGTGGAATCAGGTGTGTTAAATGAGGGGAAACCCAAAAATGTGCAGGGCTCCGGCCCTCCAGGACTGGAGTTTGACGTCCGTGACCTAACTGCATATCTTTGGAGTGCAGAAGAAATCTAGGACCCAGAGGAAAAGCCATGTGACATGGGGAGCACATGCAAACTCCACATGCACTGAGGGGAGGTGGGATTCGAACCCCCAACACTAGCAATGTGCTGCTGTATACGCATGGCACATACAATCAGTGGCCCCTTCATTAGGTGCCTCTACGTGGAGCCAGATAGGAGCCCTTGTCCACTGACCTACTTCAAGGGTTTAGAGAAGGCCTTTCTGCACACCTTTGCTGTACTGAGCTGTTATTTTAGCGCTTGTGACCTTCCTGTTAGCTTTAACGAGTCTGACCAGTCTCCTCTGACCTGTCTCATTATCAAGGTGTTTTTGGCCCCATAACTGCCACTGATTGGATGTTTTTTTCCGAATTTATTTTTTTTGTTCAGCTGAATATCCTCTGTAAACTCGGGGCGCTGGAACCACTGTGTCTGGCAACAACAATCGGATCGCGCGTGAAATCACTCAAGTCGCGTATCTTAGCCTGCTAATGCTTAGCCGCACAGTAGCTGAACTTGATCCTGTCTTCATGCAGTATATATTAATCTGAAGCCACATGGTTCACTGTCTGGAAGAGCAGGCTGTTCGCGATAGCAAGCAAGTGTACCTAATAAAGTGGCCACTGAATGCATTATTTTATATGTGACAAACTAGCTGGTTATTAACAATGACAAACACCCCAATTTAAATGCCTTGCAATGTTTGCAGGATGTGATGCCCTTTCTAGTTGATTTTTTTTAGCATACTTCATACTCGTCAGCCATCATAGCTGGGATCTGTAAGTTGCTCAGAAGTATGGGTGACAATGACACACATCTTTTACATAATGTGGGCCCTTGGAAAAAGACCACGAGGGAGTTTCCGCTGCACAATAATTATGCTGTCTAGTTATGTAAACTGTAAGAAGCCAATCCAGCATAATTCACCGAGTGATGTTTTTCTTTAGCGAGTAATGGGAAATGCAGTTTTAATACTTCATGTCACACATAGACTTCCTGATAGCAGGTAAACATTCCTTAGGTATAATTACGCAATTACAGGGTATAATTACATAATTACAGGGTGCTTCCAAACATCATACCTCCAGCCTCTGTTACAAATATGATTCTAATAGACTTGCATCTATGAAGCTTGCAAACTGCACGTTTGACTGCAAATGGAATGTTGCTCTTCTTGATTTTAAAAGACATAGTAAACTGTGATTCTGTAAGCAACACCACCTCCCCATTGCATCCACTGAAGCAGCACTGGATTCAACATGAGCAAGTTGGTTGCTTGTGCAATGACAGCAAGCATTGCCGGCCAATAAATGCACAAGATGTATATGGTGGGTTTTATAAATGCCTTTGTTCTTTTTATATACTACGGTTTCTATTTTCAGTTGTCTGTCACTGTTATGGGTTTCCTTATACCCTCAGACTGAAATTGTCCTAGTGTTTTCGATCCGTAAGCATAAGCTGGGGTACCCTGCATGTCAGCAGAAGCTGAGGATTAAAAAAAAAGAAAAAAGAAGCGAATGCTGATGTATCCCTTCCAAGGTTCGCCCTGCCTTATGCCCGGTGCTTCCTTGGATTGACTCTGAACTCCCCTGCAACAGTGTGCTGAAGATGGATGGGTGACTATGATGCCATTCAGACCGGCAGAGCAGTAGTGAAAACCAGGACATTGCCCAGGTCGCTTAGGCATTCACTTATGTAAGCCGCACCAGTAAAGTTCTGGCCTCCTGTAAAGATGATTGTCCTGCTGAAAGGTCAATTTTCACTCAGGTTTAGCAGCCAAAAAAGAGAGCTTCCCGTGTACTTTCTGTACTTCCCTGAATATATATTTTTTTCCAGCTCTAACAACTTTCAGTCCCCAATGATGAGAAGCAGACCTAAGCATGATTCTGGAACTGTGTCTGAGGATGGTATTAGGTGGGCAATTCTCTCTGATGGCTCTGAAGCAGACGTGTAGTGATGCCTGGGGTTTTGACTAAAAAACTTCCAACTTTTCCCCATATTTGCGGCTGCTTTTAAATCTCTAAGTAGGTTTTTGGAACACGTATTTTCCATAAAGACTTCCTTTAGCCTGGATATTGTTAATTTATGCACATTTTGTTTAATACCAGTAAGTGAGCCTTCATTACTTTATAAACCGGTAATAACGTTAGCCAGTGTCCTCCTCTTTGCCTTATGTGTGGAGAGCCTCATCCCGAAAAAAAATGCTTGTGGTAAGATGAACCAGATATTTCTTTATGATAGACTAAATTAGATTGTGATTAGACTAGATTGTGCTCTCCTGGTCCTTGCCTCTTGATGACATTTCCACGAATTGCTTTGAAACTTCCTTGGTTGTTGTAGTTGAGTCTACATAAAATGAACTCCCTCCAAACAAGGACATTCACAAACGGGTATTTTTGTTCTGAAATAATGAGAACCACACTTCCAAACACAGACTGCCCATAAAAGTAACTCATTAAGGTTATTTTTCACATGCTAAATGTTCTTTTGAATATTTGAGTAAGACATTTATTTAGAAATTAAATAGATTAATTGCTGCTTTAAATTGGCATTAAATGTGAACCTTTGAACAAATAAATTTAAGGTTCTGAATATTATTGCAAGTCAATGTACACATAATATGGCAAGTAATTTGCCATGACCTAATATCCAATGTCAGGTGCATCTTGGATGGAACACCAACACAAGAACTTGGATTTTGGGGAAACCAATCCAGAGGAACCTTAGGGAAATGTGAGGAACCCAGGTAATCCACACGTAAACATGTGGAGAAGGTGGACAAACTCCTTCTACACAAAGCTTGGGCTCAACTCAAACCTTGGAGATGTGAGGTCATAACACTTCCTTTCAGTGCAGGAACAACGACCAGCCTGCTAGATAAACTGAATTTGCATGTCATTTCCCCAATAAAGTGCAATTTAGTTTTTCACGTAAAAATTTCTTTTGTTATATGCTACATGTTATTACATAGCTTTTGACGTATGTATAGGATAACTTAAGTTTGGAACCAGCATGATTCCCACGTTCATTTTTTTGTATACGTGCTAAAAACTATGGCGCAGATAATTTATGTTTTTTTGTATTGTTTTGAAGAAAATTGCAGCCAGAGTGAGTTTTGCGATAGAATATCAAGGTAGAGCCATGGCTGGAAGAATACCTGGTACCGGAGGCTGGAATTGATATGACAGCTATTTGCAGAAGTCGTCATGCACTTGGCCTCATCCAACCAAAATCTCCAGCAATGAGAACCAGCCCCTCCAAACCTGCGGCTGTGGTATTCCCTTGGAAAATGATGGATCATTCCTTTTAATTGAGGGGGGAGAGTCTGAATTTAGTGGAGGAGTTTAAGTACCTCGGAATCTTCTTCGTGAGTGACAGTAAGAGGGAACGTGAGATTGACAGGCGGATCGGTTTGGGGGCTGCAGTTCTGTGGGCGCTGAACAGATCCGTGATGGTCAGGCGGGAGTTTACCAGTCAAGCCACGTCCCCATCCTCATGTATGGCCATGAGCTGTGGGCGATGACTGAAAGAACAAGGTCACAAGCACAAGCATCCTAAATGAGGTTTCTCCACAGGGTTGCTGAACTCGCTCACTGTGACACGGCGAGGAGCTCGGAGATCTGGAAGGACCTCGAAATAGAGCCGCTGCTCTTTCGGATGGAGAGGAGTCAGCTGAGGTAGTGTGGGCATCTCATGAGGCTCCCATAGGAGGTGTTCAGGGCATGTCCCACTGGGCAGAGACCCAGTGGAAGACTCAGGACATGCTGGGTGGGTTGTATCCTAAATGGCTTTGGAACCTCTGGGGATCCCACAGAACTAGAACTAGAGTCTGTAGCCTTGGAAAAAGGGGCCTGGTCTGACCTGCTCGGCATGCTGCCCCCAAGTTCAAGAACCGAGGTACCACTGTACATGCTACATTTGCTTTCTTGCCTAAAATCGATTTTAAAAATGTCCTCTTAATAAGCGGTGGCAAATAGACTAGTAGAACATAATAGTTTCTGCTGGTATTTTAATCATCTTATCATTATTTGGGTTGTAACTTAGGGTGATAGCTAAACTAACGCGGCCTAGCATGGTGTGGACTTAGCATATAAAAGCTAATGACAAATGGGAAGTGAATCAAATCTAATGGTGACCAAACCAACTGTTTTCGTTTTATTCAGTGCTAGTGCTCATGGTTCGGGTATGGAACACCAGATTCGGTATTCAAAACTATTGCTTTCACACAGCTTTCTAGCAGGTAAACTATACTATATAACATATTATCCATCTAACTTCTGTAGCCACTTGTCTTATTCTGGGTTGCAGGGGGTCCAGAAACTATCCAGGAGGTTATGGGTTCAAGGCAGAGAACAACCCAGGATGGGGTGCCAACCCATCACAGGGCACAGTCACACACCATTCACACCCATGGATAATATGGTAAGTTCAGATCTCTTTAGCTTTTTTTTGGACTGTGGTGCACTGGAGCATCCGGTGGAAACCCCATGATGACACAGTGAGAACATAGAAACTCCACACACGTGGCAGAGACTCGAACCACTGCACCTCATGCTGCCCCCTATAAAATATTAATCAAATATATTTTATAATATCTAACTAGGGCTTATGTATTATATAATGATTTTTGCATGTGGGCATGAAACAGAATGTAAACAGTAGCATTCAAAGAGGTGAATTCTATGTTATTCTTTCCAGTACTGATAGGCTTTTAGGGGCCTTGGTTATGCTGCAAGATTTTCCACTGCAGTCAGCAGAAAGTGCTACTACACTTATATGCCATGTGTGAGCTTGCCTAGTGTAGGGTCACATCCCACTACTGACACCAAAGTGGCTACTGCATTGGGGAAGCCTTTGGTAAAATTAAAACCTCAGTCTCCTAGTGTCCCTTAATCTAATCACCAGTATGGTAACAAAAATTCGAATAGAGAATATTTTAGTGAGTATTCTTAGCCAGTATTATAGGATCTGATGATAACTTACCTCGAAGACAAAATGTTTCAATGCACTGCACCTACTGAATGTGCAGGATAGAGTTTTGCATCAATGTGACATCAGCTCTGACGTCACTGTTATGAGTGAGCAATGCTACCATCCCGTCTTGGGGACCATGCGTTAGACGTCTCTTGCCAATAGCTTCTGGTGATGTTTTATGCAGGTTCTCCTCATGAATGACACATGAAATCTTCAGGGGACCGACTCAACTTTGAGAAGCATAAGTGCAAAGCTTGTAGGTAAATACGCAGCCTTAGAAATGGTGGAATTGGATTCTTCTAAAGCAAGTCAGCCCATCCGACTTCTTTCTGAAGTACTGGGCTTGAATACAAAGAAAAAGCTGGAATTTCTTTGGACCAGTGCTGAACTGGGATGTGTGTACCCATAAATAATATTATCGGTGAGTGAGGGAAATATAAGGAAGTGTATGGAAAATAAAATTATTTTTAAATAGCATGATTAACTCCGTGAAAGTTATAGTTTAGTCAGTATAGTTAAACTTAGTCCATGATATAGCTGAGTGTGTTTGACGTTTGGTGGTATGGAATCAAAATGATGCTCAGCTTCCGGCCCTTAATGTCCAACAAGGGACTTTGCATAAAATTAATTTTTACGGTTGTTTATACAGCCCTGGATATTAAGCAAAATTTAGCAGGTGTGTGTATAAGTACATACATATATAAGTGGCTGAAATATTAGCTTAGTTTGCAAACTGTGACAAGAAGATACTGAAAGGAAGGAAGGACAAATAGGCCCAGATATCTCTGCTCGCTTGTTAAGGAGGCTTCAGTGCCAATTAGAGTTGACCAGTATCCTTCCTGGGGTTTGTCAAGACTTGTGTCTTTGTGCAATTCATTATTTTTTGATGACGACAATGAAAAATAAGAATAATTTTATAAGCTCCTCCCCTCATTTAACACCACCCAGTCTCAGTTTTATTGATATTAATGAAATGAAAATTTATATAGAATTTCCTTAACTTGCCAATCACCTGGCTTATATTAAATAATTCATTTACGAGAACTGTACTGCTCATTCAAATCTATATATCCCTCCTCATTTTTCATGAATTTACCTGAGGCAATTTCAGTTTCCATCAAGCTATGTTCCAAGTCATATCACTACCAGCAAAACGAGGATACTTCAGATCAAAAAAGGACTTCTTTGTTTTTTTCTCAATCTTGCCTCTGCCCTGCTCAAACTTGGACCACCTGATTAAAATGCATTATTTTTTCGTTTTGTACATGAAGTTGCCTGGACCCATTAAAATATCTGTCATAGCGCAGAACGAGAGGGAGAGGTTCTAGAAAATGTGCCGGATGCTCGACCTGCGCCGTTACATTGCTCGTGAGCTGGGTTCACGAGGGGAAAGGAGGGAGGAGGAGAGAGGAGGAGTAGAAAAGGGCAGAGAAACAGCAGTGTTACTTTACCGAGTGACCTTTTTGCCACGGTGAGCGTTAATAAGAAAGGCGAGGGAACAGGGGTGTGGGGACCCGTGAGTTTGCAAATTTGGTTTTGGCAGCCTTTCTCGAGCCATACTGGGCCAAACCGGGTCATCAGGCAGGGACAGAACGGCGTGCTGTTTCCTAATAAAGGCTGGCCGAATACGTATGAGGCATGAAGATGAGTTCATAATGTATTTTATCGGATCAATATTTTGTCATTATATATAATCAAAAAATTCTTGACTAACAAACTTCAAGAAGTTGAGCAATATTTTATTTTTTACTGAAACATGGGGTTTGAGCTGTTAATGTTGCATGAGATGCAGAGAGTGCCAGCATTGACTGTAACCTTTAAAAAGGCAACTCTGATAGGAATATAAAAGATAAGTGAAAAGATAAGAAATTAGCATCTGATGTAATTTATGGGTTGCTGTTGGAGGGACGTCTCTCCTGATTCATCGCCGACCGGTGCGATTCCACCTGAGTGAAACAGGCAGCGGCATAAAATCATCAGATAACAGGTAAATAATGTCTCAAACAATCCTGACACGGGCGTTTTCGGTTAAGAGGCGGTGCAGCAGTAAAAAAGTTGCGATAATATAATAAATTTCAGTTTCTATGCCAACTGGTCAGGAAGTATAGTTTAGTAATATATAAGGACAAAAAAAGAGGGATTGTTATGGATGTTTCGGTATAAAAAGCAAAAGCAATATATAGAAATATGAGTCATAGCTCACAAATAGAAGAGTTCATGACAAGTAGACATTTTTTAATATTACTCCTTGTTCAGCGGCCTGACTATGCAGTACAAAGCAGCAACTTTTTCATTCACTTTTTTTGCCTACGTATTAATACATGCATGAGGTCCTATTTCTGGGAAGCACGGTGAATTAAAAATAGATACCCCTGGGTGACGTTACTTTTGCACTCCCGCTGGCTCAGATAAAAATGGGTGCGTGTTCCAGACCGGGGCTGCGGCTCTCTGCAGACGAGGAGGATTTTATGAATGAGCAGCAGAAGGGGAGAAAAAAACAAAAACTCCGAGGTGAACTACTCCAGTGACGGCAGCGACGTGGCCAGACAGCGCCGGCTTCTGCTGCCGCGGCCGCTCGCCTGTCCGGAAAGGTCAGGCCGCCATGGCTCACGCGGTTTACTCCGGCAGAGCCCGTCCGTGTCCGTCAAGCCAGCTTCGGACACTGTGGAAATCCGCTGCCTGCCCTTTCCAGGAAACCGCCGTCTGATCGTTCCCGCACATCACGCAGCTGCAGCTTTATTGGAAACATTTCTTCTTCTTGTTTTGTTAAAGGCATTTGTTGCTTTCATCTAAATGCAATAAGAAATTCATTTATGAAAAACTCCTTAATGAGCAATGGCAGTATATGGGAAAACATTTAAGAAATTCAGTTTGTACCATACTTAAATAATCACAAATCATTATATGTATATATATATATAACTTTTCTATCTCCTTCAGTAGCTTGCACATTGTATACGTGGCAGGGCAGGACTTTGGATCAGCAACATATAGTATGCTTAGTATACCTTAGTATACCTTAGAATACTTCTGACTGCTTGTCAACGCCCACATTTTACTGCTTTAGAAATGTCGAGATATTTTTCATTTACCCTCAATAAAACCTTGCAAACCAAAAAATAGAAACTTTCCATTGAATGTAACAATACTTTACAGCTAGCAGGAGGAGTTAGTGGCCATGGAAGACTGCTGAATATCATAGCAGTAGAACGACAAGGAGAAATGTCAGGTTATCTAAGGTGTAGATAAATAATGAACTGTGATTTTGACGCTGCATTTTGAGCTTGAAGTCAAGTTAAATAGCAGGTACTACAAAGAATATGAAAAAGAACCAGACAAGTTGAGAAAAAAATTCTCTTGGGAGAAAAAAAAAAAACAAAAGCAGAAAAATATGAAAAATGGATTTCCAAATAAGCAGTAATGATATCCGATGCAGAACAGGTGGTATGCATTTGGATTTAGTACATGAGAGAAATCTGCATTTGTTAAAAAAAAAAAAACACATGGATCCAATAAAAGACACTATGTGTGATTTAGAAAGTCCAAAAGCCGAATCCTTGGGGATCTCGAGCCAGATAGAAAGGAAGGAGCCATAAGGCCATAGTCTTCATAAACCTTTTCCCAGAGCATCACAGCCTAAGGTCGGGCGGTTTCCTTAAAAGTCCCTTCTGGTTTTAAAGAACTGCAAGGGGCCCATATAAGAGCTAGTGTTCAGGCCCCAGTCATGCACATTTCACACACATATGCACTAGAGCAGGGATTCCCATCCCTCTGTCTGTGGAACACTGGGGTTCGGGTGAGCTGAGATTGGCTGATTTCTAGAAATACACCATATATTTTCAAGCCACGCCTTTTTTTTTTTTGTTTACAACTCCTGATGTTCTGATCACATCTGAAAAAAATGGAAACGGCTGAGCTTATTAAATTTGGCCTGGTTCCACCCTCCTTTGACAGGTTTTACTGCCAGTACCCCCCCCCCCCTCCAGTCCATGTTTTTTTTCCAGAATGTATGCCAGTCTATACTCATTAAAAGGTTGGGAACCTCAGTACTGGAATACTTGAGGAATAATGTTGCATCTCTGTAGTTAAAAGTTGCTAAAACAAAATAGCTAATAGGCCGCGCTTCTGTGCAATTTTGCCAGGAAGCACAATAGCTCTTTGTGGGTTGACCTGAAGTAAGTCAACTGAAAAAATCTGGGCCCTAAAATTTGCGTCAGAATTCTATGCTAGAGCATCGTACTGGTTTTTAAGTTTTATCTCTTTCTTAAAAAAGATTGTGATTTTTTTTTTTTTATCTGTGTTTCACAGGTGACTTTAATTTTGTAGTAAAACACAATAGATTGTAAGTCACTGCCAGATAAGAAATTTCTTAGTTCTTCTGAAACCATGTTTTGAATATTATGGGAGGTTAATGCATAAGAGGAATGTGGGA